AGATGGCTCTACACAACTATAAACTTCTGACACCCGCTTGTAACATAATAGAAGAGGAGGAGAGGAAGTTCACATGCTTGTTGTTAAAATTACTGGTGACTCGAACAACCATGGAGGGTTCAAGCAGCAGCTCCAGCTCTAGCGATGAAGAAATGATTATTGTTCACCAGTGCAATAAGCAGCTCTACGTTTATATCGCCTCTGGGCATCTTCTTCAATGTGCGCTCGCATTGACAGTTTTGCGCTTGAGCGCCTCCAAGTGCTGTTTACTGTAACTTCAGCAGCTCCGTGCACGTGAGCAAAAGTGCTGATCTGATTGGTGGAGAAGGTTTTGACGCGCCACGTTAAAACAAAAAAACGAGCATGAGTCGTTTTTTTTTTTAAAGGACGCTTTTGCGGCTGGCGTTTTGCACGTTGGTGTGCACGATCACATTGACGCTCTTTATTTAGTCTCGAGGCATTAAACATTGATGAAAAAAGCACGCAAAAAATGTCTCAAGGCTGATTTATACTTCTGCGTCAAACGCACGCGTTTGCTACGGCGTTGACGCATAGCCCTTCGACGTGGCCGTCGGCGTCACTGACGTGCACCTCTCAAAAAATGTAACTACACGTCGCAACGACGCGTAGCGCAAGCTCTGTGATTGGTCGTCTTGGTAGTGTTGACGAGTCTGGGCGGAGCCGAGAGCTGCGCGAATGGCACGAGCTGGGTGCGGAACCAACGGAGCGATTGTTTACAAGTGTGGAGTCCCGTGAAGGAGCTCCGGATGGAAAGTTTTGTTTTCTGTTTACCTCATAGTTAAAGTTGTTGCAAGTCCATCGATTCCTGCCTCAAAATGAGCGAGTTTGAGCCACTTGTACATCCAGGAAGTGTTCAGGAAAAGCAAAACAGCAGCGAAGAAACTCGACACAGAGGAACATTTACACCTCACTGCCAACTAGCGTTTCAGAAGTGTTAATGCAGACCAACAGAGACAGCGTGCAGAAGTATAAACGCACAGCTACACGCGTTGCCTGCACCCATGGTTACGCTTGTCACTTGACGCAGAAGTATAAACCAGGCTTTAGTGTGCACGGGCCTTAAGGGAACAGATATAAATCAATACTTCAAATTAAGTCATAAATGATGAACGTGATTCGTTCTTACAGTTAGAAATACAGTCTAAACTTTAGGATCACTTAAATTCTGAGCTAAAAAAGCGAATATAAAAAATTCTAATAAATAACACAATTCTTTTCAGAAGCACTAGAAAAGGCGAACATGCATTTAACCTTCGACCACGCTGCTAGTTTCGTCATTGGGCTAATAGATGGACACTATATTGAAAAATGTTGGAAGCTGGTAGGCATTGGCTCCCATCGTATTTGTTGTTCCTACTATGTAAGAGGGTGTTTACAAGTTTCTAACATTCTTCAAAATATCTTCTTTAGTGTTTGACAGAAAAAAGGAAACTTGAAGATTTGGAGCCACTTGAGCGAGTTAAAAGTGAGTACATTTTCAATTTTGGGTGAACTATCCCTTTAAAACTGAACCTGAACTATATACTCAAGTACCACAGGATCATTAATACTGATGCCTCTCGTTCAATCCCTCCTGCAAAGCTAATTAAGATGCTAATAAAACATAATTTACAAAGTCATTTAGGACAAGCAGTAAAGCCAGTAGACATTAGAATATGGCTTTTAGGAATAACAGTCAAACATAAACACACATTAGTGCAATAATTAACTCAAGAATTTTACAGTCCATTATCATCTACTCTGATTATGTCACCGTCACTCAATGTTGATGTATATGTAGTAGCCAGGCGTTCATATGTTTGCTTTCTGTGAAAATGATTTTGTGAGGTCAAAAATAAAAATCTTTGCATTGTTTATCGTACGCTGTAAAACCCAAAAAGTTAAGGTAACTCATACCATTTACCCTGTAAAAAGTGGTTAGCTACTTAAAGCGAGTAAAGCGATTGCCTTAAAAGAAACAAGTTTACTTCACAAAAATATTGTAAGCAAACCCGTAGTAGCTTGGATTTGCTCTTGTAGTTCTTGTCATTTTTATTATTATGCAAATTTAACTCACTTTTTTTAATAAATGTCAACTAATCACTTATTTTAAAACACATTTATTATATTTGGGTCTTTTTTTTCCAGCTTTTCTGTATCTAGCAAAATGACAGTAACTAAAATAAACCTGCTCTTTCAGACTCCAGGGTGTCTTCTAAATTCAATACGGGCTATAATTGTAGATTTTATAGGCTTAACAAAGCACCAAGTGTGTATTATTGTAATAACTGCAGTAATTAGTTATTAAAGAGACGTGCTAAAATAGTCTGACACTGTAAAAAGCGATTAATTGACTTTTAAAAAAAGTGAGTACATTAAGCATAATTATTAAAATTCTACTAAGCAGTTACAAGGTACAACCGGTTTACTTACAGTTAAAGTCAGAATTATTACCCCCCCCCCCCCCCACCCCCACCCCCTCTTTTGTAAATATTTACCAAATGATGTTCATCAGGGCAAGGAAATATTCACAGTATGTCTGATAATATTTTTTCTTATGGAGAAAGTCTTATTTGTTTTATTTTAGCTAGAATGAAATCAGCTTTTAATTTTTTTAAAACTATTTTAAGGTCAAAATTATTAGCCCCCTTTAAGCTATATTTTTTTCGACAGTCAACAGAACAAACCATCGTTATACAATAACTTGCCTAATTACCTTAACCTGCCTAGTTAACCTAATTAACCTAGTTAAGTCTGTAAATGTCACTTTAAGCTGTATAGAAGTGGCTTTAAAAATATTTAGTCAAATATTATTTACTGTCATCATGGCACAGATAAAATAAATCAGTTATTAGAAATGAGTTATTAAAACTAATATGATTAGAAATGTGTTGAACAAAATCTGCTCTCCGTTAAACAAAAATGAAGGTGAAAACATTAACAGGGGGGCTAATAATTCAGGGTGGCTAATAATTCTGACTTCAACTGTACTTTATGTTTGTAAAGTCAACTTGTTGCTTTTAAGGCAATTGGTTTACTCGCTTTAAGTAACTAATCACTTTTTACAGTGCAGGAAACCGATTGCAACGAACCATTTAAGTTCAAAAGCTAATCCTAATGAGTACTGTAAACTTAATCCATTTGACTAAACAAAGCAATTTAAGCACCATAACACCAAATAAATGAAGAGAACTCAAACTAAGTGCTGAAAACCCAATAAGCAGGGCCAGACGGAATCTGCGGATGTTTTTTTGCTATTTCTGCGGAGAATTTTGGTAAAAATCTGTGGATTTCTTTTGGGAGGAATTATTTTGGGAGTATCCAACGGAGTATCATAACTAAAACCTTAATATATTAAATAAAAATTAATAAATTACTGAATAAAAACTGAATAAATTCAGATTTACACATTTACTCAAGTAAATAAACAGAATTAATAATGGGCTAATAACTTGCAGAAATCTGCGGAATTCTGCAGAAAATCTGCGGAATTCTGCGCGCGCAGATTCCGTGTGGGCCTACCAATAAGTTAAGGCAACTCAAACTGTTAAACTAATCTATTTGAGTACTGTGAACTTACTCCATTTAAGTTGCAGTAATGAGGTATTAAATTAACATTACCTTCAACACTGATTTAATTTTTTTTTCAAATGAGTAGACTTAACTTTGTCAATTTTGAGTTGACTATACACTCATTTTATTTGATAACGTTGACAGCTGGGTTTTACAGTGTTAGTGTGCGTCAGTTTTGCAGTCTGTGACTTTAAGGGCCTACTCACACTATGCTATCCGTATTTCCCGGATCGTTTGAGAAGTGTGTGCTCTGAATTGGGCTCAGACACGGTTCACTTGGCTGGCCCTGGCCCGGTTGGAAGAGCGCGGTTCACTTGGGCTTTTGCGCGGTACGTTTGTGTGTGAGTGAGAAACGTGCTGCCTTGAAACTGAAAGCGAGACGTGACTTTAAGGGACTGTATCATATGGATTGATTAATCATTCTTACTGTTACAAAAGTCTTGTCGCTTATCCAAGTTTTAGGAACAACAAATAATAATGTGACTTCTAGTTGAGCATTTGGTATCAGAAGTGGTTTATATGAAAGGCAAATGCCTCTAGACACTTATTTTACCAAAATCAAATATGATCATGCCTTGATTAATAATGATTTTATCAGGACAGTAAAGTCTGACTTTGCTTAGACAGAAGTCTCATCACTGAACAGAAATAATGTCCAGTATAGAATATAAAGTCCTGCTGCAGTGGAGACAGAATGAATATTGTGTCTGACTCCATCATGAGCTTGGAGGACTGCATCCACACATCTCTGACATGACTCAAACCACTGATTAATAAAGTCTGGAATGGCAAAGAAAGTGTTCCTGCAGGACTCCCAGAATTCATCAAGATTCTTTGGGTTCATCTTCAATGCCTCCTCCTTCATCTAACCCTAGATATGCTCAATAATGTTCATGTCTGGTGACTGGGCTGGCCAATCCTGGAGCACCTTCACCTTCTTTGCTTTTAGGATCTTTGATGTGGAGGCTGAAGTATGAGGAGCGCTATCCTGCTGGAGAATCTCCTGTGGTTTGTAATGTAATGGGCAGCACAAGTGTCTTGATACCTCAGGCTGTTGATGTTGCAGATCTCTCGCACACCCCCATACTGAATGTAACCCCAAACCATGATTTTTCCTTCACCAAACTTGACTGATTTCTGTGAGAATCTTGGCTCCATGCGGGTTCCAGTAGGTCTTCTGCAGTATTTGTGATTGGGATGCAGTCCACTGCCACTTTTCCAAATAAACAACTAGAAGTCAAGTTATTATTTGTTGCTCTTACATCTGGAATCAACGACAAGACTTTTGTCAGGTAGTGTATTTCAATCTCAAACAAAATTTTCCTTCACGTTATTATTATAGTGTGGACGGAGCTAATCTAAAACCTCCAAACGCTTTAAAGAGAAAGGCAAGGTGATATTAAAGTCAACAAACCTACAAAAGAAACGTCTTAGACATGCGATTTAAGGAAATAAACACCTTAAAATGTTTCTCGACCAATCAGAATCAAATGTGCAATAACACAGTCACAATCCCATCGGCAGCCATTATCAACAGTAACAATTGCAACTTTCTAATGGCTGGACAATGTCGCTTTAGATTTCGCCGGCAGCAGCTTTTATTGTGCAAATCTCTACTCAGTCCTGGTAGTAGTGTGGTTCATCGGGACCTGGCCGTGGCGGTGGGCGGGAAGGGGGCGGAGCTCTTGCGTGTGGACCCTCATCAGGGGGCTGAGACAAAGGCGATGAGGGTGGAGGCAGAGTCACACTGATGCTCAGACAGGCAGGTGGAAGAGCTCTGGTTGGAGGAGGAGTGTAAGGAGGCGGGGTTATGGAGTCTGGGGGTGGAGTCAATGGAAGAGGAGGCAGGATCGAGTTTGGAGAGTAGGCGGAGCAGCGTGGAGTGGGCGGGAGTGTACCCTGTGGTACAGGAGGGCATCTGCTGTGGGGCAGGCTGTAGATGGGGCTGGACGGGTTGTTGTAGTGCGGGTATCGAGGAGGCGGGCAGGATTTCACACGGGTCAATTTCATACAGCGACCCTACAGAGTGAAATAAACAGCAGTTTAAATTAAAGCTTAATGTGGTTTTGCAGTTGGCATGTTTGTTTTATTAAGTGTGTTTCTTTAAGTTAAAAAGTCTATATTGTTAGTCAAGGGTTATGGTTCATATAAATGCTGTTCTTTCAATCCTGAAAAAAATTGCAGCATATTTTTTACAAAGCTATAAATGGTTTTAATGTTAAGAATAATCATTCTTTAACTATTTCAGTGTCTGTCAATTATTTCAAATTGACATTCAGTTGAAATTTTAAATGCAAAGATGACAGTGTTTGTTATGTAACTTGACACAAACAAATACATCACAACCTGTTATAGTCTTTGTCATGACAACTTGACATTAATAAGACAACAAGAATTGTCATAAATCTGTCATAAACATGATCCTCATGTTAAATATGTCGTGGATTTTATAAGTGTCATTAATATTTTTCCTATTTCCTACAGTGGAAGCTGAACTTGTGGTTAAAATGTCATTAAATATTAATGATGCTGTTATAAAATGATTTGACAGACTTTGAGACACTTTAATAGCAAATACAGTTTGTTCAAGAAAAATATTCATGTTTACAGTTGAAGTCAGAATTATCAGCCTTATTTTTCCGTTTTAAATATTTCCCAAATGATGTTTAACAGAGCAGGAAAATTTTCACAGTATGTCTGATAATATTTTTTCTTCTGGAGAAAGTCTTATTTGCTTTATTTGGGCTAAGACAAAAGCAGTTGTTATTTTTTTAATAAACATTTTAAAGTCAATATTATTAGCTCCTTTAAGCTATATTTTTTTCAGACATAGAACAAACCATTACTATACAATGATTTGCCTAATTGCCCTAACCTGCCTAGTTAACCTAATTAACATTTACATTTAGTCATTTAGCAGACGCTTTTATCCAAAGCGACTTACAAATGAGGACAAAGAAGCAATTTACACCTAGTTAAGCCTTTAATTGTCACTTTTAGTTGTATAGAAGTGTCTTGAAAAATATCTACTTAAATATTATTTCCTGTCATCATGACAAAGATAAAATAAATCAGTTATTAGAAATCAGTTATTAAAACTATTATGTTTAGAAATGTGTTGAAATTTTCTGCTCTCCGTTAGACAGAAAATGGGGGGAAAAATAAACAGGGGACGAATAATTCTGACTTCAATTGTATGTACAATTATAAAGCCTCATGACAGTCATGTTTATGACAGATTTATGACAAGTGTTACCAGTCAAAATATACAGATTTTTTCTTTTATGACAACAAGCATTGGAAAATTAAGTAAAAATCATGTTCTACAAACAATAAATATATCATTTGGTTGGTAATGTGCATTGCTAAACACTTTATATAAACATAAATCAATGTATAGTCAATTTTCTTCACTGTAAAAAAATTAAAAAAGTTGAGTTAACTTAACGTTTTTAAGCAACCAGCTGCAAAGATATTTTGAGTTTATTAAGCTTCAGTAGTTGTAGTTGTGACAAATTATTCCATGAAGTGTACAATTTAAAAAAACATTTTGATCCATTTCAAATGTTGCTTAGTGTATTTTAAGGCATTTAAAAATGATTTTATTAAACAGTCATCACTATAAAAGTGTGATCATCTAACACAGTGGTCCCCAACCTTTTTATCATTGCAGACCGGTAAACGATTGACAATTATACCGCGGACCAGAGGATGACAAGCTAACAAAACATTGCTGCAATTCTAATACAAGTTTTATTTACAGAGAAAATTACAAAGCACTGCAGTGTTTGGGTGTTCTGTGTCTGCCTGGGATAATTAGTCTACCGAAATGTGCATATTCCATACAAGATGAAGCTGATTCTTTAGTTCTGGTCACGTGACTCATGGTGTGCTCACAGAATTCGTTCAACTGGGTGCATCTGGAAGGCACGCGCATCCATTAGAAATAATGAACTTGCGCTAACTCTAGAAAAGATGCGATATGCGAACCGGCCACCGTCATTTGCGATCTACAGCAGTTGAATTTCTTTTTGCACAGCATGCTGGATTCACCTGATTTGTTGACAATGTGGACCCATTCCTTGGCAGTTCATGGGTCCTTTTTCCCCTAAGCAAAGAAACTTTCCAAAGACGTCTGTTTCTTACTCATTTTGCTGCTTGTGGCTTAAATTTGGGCGCTCAAGTGACTAAGATTTAAATGAGAAAATAGTCATTTTTCAAAATAAAAGATTTTTCAAAATAAAAGACCGGTACCGGTTTGCATTAGGAAATATAATGCATTTAAATTCAAACCAGATGATGCAAACTACAAAATTTGAACTAAATGTAATTTATGACTCTAATGAATTTTTCTTGTTGTTAAAATTGTACTTTCGCATAGTGATTTTAGGTTATAATATTAAATTAGCTCTAGTTTTGGTTTTGGTACTGACTAATCTAATGCATTCACATATATCCTATTGTATAGCAATAAGTAGCTAGACTGCAAACTCTAATGGCGGACGGCTGCTTCTCACTCAGAGTTGTTTATGCTAATGAGGAAGAGATGGTCACTAGTGGGCGGGGCTTTCCCCCTCTGATGACTCGTACAAAGGGAGAATGTCAATCAAAGTGTTGATCAAGTGCGATTATAAAAGATAAACTAATAAATGTTCACCATTAGACGCTGATTATATTCACACACTGTTTCCAAACAACTGTGTTTAAACCCTGTATAAACCCGATTTTTGCATAATAGGTCCCCTTTAAAAGATGAAGGAAAGTCAGCTTTCTTTTAACCTCTTTAAAAGAGTCCCACATTATGGCTGCGATTTACAAACACAGCATTCGTGAGATGGTTTCAGTACAGTTTCGTGTTGTCTTGTTCAAAACAGTTTAATGAGTCAGCAGAAGCTTTTACGTTTGCCTGTGAGGATTGAAGGCAGTCTGACCGCTCCAAGTGTGAAGGCTGTCAGATTAGTGTCCAGCATTCCTCCGTTTACCAGCTCTCTCTGATGGGAGGTGTATAATGCTTTAAGCAGAGAGCGCTCCATTCACTGCTACTGGCGGCACTTATTGCTCACAGCTGGCCTTCTTTCATCTTCACTGTACCACACAATGCTTTTCATCTGCCTGTCACAATCTGCCTGATTCTACAGGAATCCAGAAAACGGCTTTCTTTTACCTTATATGGAGATAGAAACAGATGTCTGTAGTCCTGTTTAATGGCATTTTTCTTGAACTTAAAGGGGAGCTATTATGCAAAAATCACTTTTAGGGGTTTAAACACAGTCGTGTGGCAGCAATGTGTGAATATAACCAGCTTCTAATGGTCAAAGTGTATTCATTTATAATCACACTTAATATAAACAGTTTGCAGAAACACTTTGATAGACTATGGAACAAAATCAGTGCCGAAAGTATTGAATTAAAAAGCTTGTTGAATAGCTCAAACTGAAAAAAAGAATACACCGAATTAACAAGTTCTTGCATTTTAATGACTTGAATTCCAGGGTTTGTATTTCAAGGTCCTGAAATTTAACATAGCTGTTTAATTAAGCTGTGAATATTCATTCATTCATTCATTTTCTTGTCGGCTTAGTCCCTTTATTAATCCGGGGTCGCCACAGCAGAATGAACCGCCAACTTATCCAGTAAGTTTTTACACAGCGTATACCCTTCCAGCCGCAACCCATCTCTGGGAAACATCTACACACTCATACACTACAGATAATTTAGCCTGCCCAATTCACCTGTACCGCATGTCTTTGGACTGTGGGGGAAACCGGAGCACTCGGAGGAAACCCATGTGAAGGCAGGGAGAACATGCAAACTCCACACAGAAACGCCAACTGAGCCGAAGTTTGAACCAGCGACCTTCTTGCTGTGAGGCGTCAGCACTACCTACTGCGCCACTGCCTCAGCTGTGAATATTTCAACTAAAAATATTTCAAACATGTTTTCATACTTATGAAATTCAAGAACTTAATAATTCGGTGTATTCTTTTTTTCATTACTTTTTTTCATTAGTACTTAATTTTACAATTGTGACTACTCTGTTGTTTGTTTTTCATCCTATAGCTCTATTGTGTAATGTTGTTTGTCTCCTTGTTTTGTAAGGGGCATGAGTCAGAGCAGTTGAAACACCTGATGTAAACATGGTATAGCCTGATTAGAAGTGACCTCGTATGCAGTACAAGGGAGAAACCAAATATAAGAGAGAGCACACTCTGTTTTCGGTGTCTCACTCTGCAGAAACTGTTGTTGCTGTATGATTGTGACCTTCTTTGCAAAGAATAAACCGAGAGAGCCTCGTTAAAGAAAAATTGCCACTACAGTCTTAAAATGGGAGGCATTTGGATACTATTTTAACATTAGAAAATTTTTAAAAAGAGACCTATTGTGTTTCTTTCACTCTAATATGACAGTGGACACACTATACCGACAAACAGTTCTGTCCAAACAGCTTACAAAAGATGATTTTCATCATAGGTGCCCTTTAACATCAGTTTACAATTCAGGAAAAATTAAGGGGCTCTATTTTGATGGTCCATGCGCAGAGCGCAAAACGCAGGGCGCAAACGCTTTCAGGGCGTGTCAGGACGCGTTTTTGCTAATTTAAGGACGGGAAAACCTGCTTTGCGCCGTGGCGCATGGGCTAAAAGTGTTGAGTTTATTTTCTTAATGAGTTATAGGTGTGTTTTGAGAATAAACCAATTATAGTCTCATCTCCCATTCCCTTTAAGAGCCAGCTGCATCGCGCCAAGAGCACATTCGCTATTTACATGACGCAAAGTAAGTCTAAGTGGAAAAAATGAGCATTTCACAAGCAAACAGTTAACAGTTTATTAACAGAAAACTGTTAAACAGAGCATCTACTGCATGAGAATGAGAGATAATGGATCTACTTTCAAATTCGCTCTTGGATAGGGAAACCTTTACGCACAGACATCAATTAGTCTATAAATAATTAATTGTGTTTGTTAAGCGCAAATATTCGTTTCAAAACTATTTCTAAATTCAGTTCTAATTTCCAGCAAACGAATAAATGAACAATGATGACCAAGTGTGGTCCAAATACTGAGTTATATCCTAAAACACATGCTGTGCCCCATATGGTCTAAAACCTGACAGGTGGGCAAATCTAAGCTTGTTTTTAATAAAACAAATATAAATATGGATATAATAAATAATACTGCTAATAATAATAACATTACACAAAAGCAAATTGTTATGAATGAACTGAAAAAGCCTCTCGAGATGAAGAAGACATGAAAGCAGTGATTTTTCATATTTATGTAGGCTAGAAAATAATATGTTTTGTAATATTTTAATCCTTTATATTTATATCCTATATCTATTCTTATTATATCCTATATATATCCTTAATATTTACATTTTTTCATATGTAAAGATATTTGCCTATTGCTCTCTTGTGTGTATTAAGCAGTGTGTAAGCGAGGCGCAACTCTGCGCTGGAGTTTAGACCGGGTTAGTTTTGGTCTAATGAAAAATCTATTATAGTTTCTCAAAATAGCAACGCGCCAGTGGTCCACCTCAGAACGCCTTCCTTTTTAGACCAGAACGCCTATGAGCGCACAAATGAGCGCTAATGCATTTGCTATTTAAACAGCGTAGCGCAATGCCTCAAAACCACTCTTGCACCAACCTGAAACTACCAAAATACTATTGCGCCACGCCTTGCGCCACATTGCGCCAGGTGTATGATAGGGCCCAAGGACTTAGAGCAGCAATATATGCCAGTTTACTTTAAGCTACTTTACATTTTATTATTGGTCTAATTTTTAACATTCAATTAAATAATAATATTTATGAACAAAAATAACGAATAATCATGATCAGTGCAATTACATATTTCCCCAGATTTGTTCTGGCTATTTGGTAATGATATTACACACACACTTTCATTATCTTGTAATAATTTCTAGTTATTTTCTCAACTGTATGCCGTCGAGTTTCTTACCTTCTCTCCAGGCTGAGGTCTCATCACAGACACACGATCATATCCTCTCCTGAGCCAAACCCACAGAGCGTCAAGCTTTCCCTGTCAATCACACACACACACACACACACACACACACTTCTGCTTAGAGGAACACTTCATCAATAATGCGGAAATAATTGTGAGAGTCAAATCAGTAACTGACTACACAGAGGAAACCGAGGCACGTGTGTGTGTGTGTTGAATCAAATTACATGCAGGTTGTTAATTGACAAGATTGTCATTTTCTGATTTCAGGGTCTGAATTAAAACACACACACACACACACACACACACACACACACACACACACACACACACACACACACACACACACACACACACACACACACACACACACACACACACACACACACACACAATGGGGTAGAACAGAGATTAAAATAAAGCCAGAGCTCTTTTAATTGGATTTTCATGTCTCTAATTCTTCACATAGGGTTTTCAACTCAGTGACTATTAAAATGTCTTAATATTTGGAGGTGAAAATCACTCCCTTTAGCTGTCAGACCATATTCACTGTTAATATTATCATGTATTGAGCACTGGAAATGTCACATAAATTATAAATATAATAAAAGGTTAGTTTGTTTAATGGTTTTACATTCTCTAATGTGTTTTAATGTACAAAACTGCATGCAGTTTATATATAAATTGTATATATTGTATTTTACTTTTTGCAGTTTCACAAAAATTTATGGGATGGATTTTACTCTAAATGTTAGCTACAAATCATTAGCAGTGAGCATTTGTTGATTGATTGATTGATTTTATTGATTGATTTTATTGATTGATTGATTGATTCATTCATTCATTGATTGATTCATTCATTCATTCATTCATTGATGGATTGGTTGATTTTATTTATTTGTTGGTTGGTTGATTGATTGATTGATTGATTGGTTGATTGATTGATTGATTGATTGATTGATTGATTGATTGTTTGATTGATTGAGTGATTGATTGATTGATTGATTGATTGATTCATTCATTCATTCATTCTTTCATTTTTCGTTAATTTATTCATTGATTGATTGATTGATTGATTGATTGATTGATTGATTGATTCATTTATTGATTGATAGCAAACAAATGTTTCCACTGACAAAACCATCAACTTTTTCAGAGAGAACCAATTAAAAGATCCACCAAGTGACTTATATTTGTTTGTTGATAATTAAAGCTTTTATTATAAATTAAGTAAACGTTTTTAAATATTTGACAAATGTATTTTCTTTTTTTAAATACAGAGTTAGGTGTTCTTAAATGAATCTTTCTTCGCTCTTCAAGACGTATGTTTTTTGTAGTAAATTCATTGTCATTTGTGGGAATCATTTCTATTTATGTCAGCTACAAATCAGGCATTATTTTTAGTTATTATTTATTTTTACTCTACACTTTTAGGCATTTTTAATGACACATTAGAGACACATTTTGAAACATTTTTAGTGACATTTAATACTGTTTTAATTAGTACACTTATTGCGTAATTTCATTTTTATTGGCACTTCTAGTCGCTGTTTGTACATTTTGCAGCAGTTTCATAGAAATTTATGAGATGGATTTCACTCTAAATGTCAGCTACAAATCAGCAGTCTTACTTTTTGCAAACAAATGTTTCCACTATGACAAAACCTCAACTTTTTCAGAGACAAACTATTAGAAGAACCACAAATCAAGTGTTTTTAATTAAATAATAAAATAGCTTTTATTGTTAATTAAATAAACATTATTATTTGACATTACTTTTTTTAATTAATACAGAGTTAGGTGTTCTTAATTATATCTTTCTTCACTCTTGAAGACACTGTTTATGTATTTTGTAGTAAATTCATAGTCATTTGTAAGAATCACTTCTATTTATATGTCAGCTACAAATCAGGCATTTTTTTTAGTTATTATATATTTTTAATCTACACTTTTTTACATTTTTAATGGGACACATTTAATACTTTTAAATTACCACATATATTGTGTAAATTTATTTTTATTGGCACTCTGAGTCACTGTTTGTGCATTTTGCAGCAGTCATAGAAATTTATGAGATGGATTTCACTTTAATAGTCAGCTACAAAGCAACAGTCTCACTTTTTTTGCAAACAAATGTTTCCACTATGACAAAACCTCAACTTTTTTTCAGTGTAGCTCAACAGAGATTACCTATTAAAGAAAATTACAGTTGCACAAATATAACAAAACTGTCGTTATCACGATAATGGTATATGCAAAAGTGTAATGAGGGAAAACAAATGTGAGGATCCAGATGCTGTCTTTCTATCACATTACTTTCCAGAAAAAGTAACTTAAAAGTAACTCTAAAGTAATCTATCACATTACTTTCCAAAAAAGTAACTCAAAAGTAACGAATCACAATACTTTCCAGAAAAAGTAACTTAAAAGTAACTCTAAAGTAATGTATCACATTACTTTTCAGAAAAAGTAACTTACATTACTTTTCAGTTACTTTTATCACATTACTTTTCATAAAAAGTTATTCAAAAGTAACATATCGCATTGCTTTCCAAAATAGTAACTCAAAAATAATGTATCACATTACTTTCCAGAAAAAAGAAACTGAAAAGTAACGTATCACATTACTTTCCAGAAAAAGTAACTCAAAAGTAACGTATCACAATACTTTCCAGAAAAAGTAACTTAAAAGTAACTCTAAAGTAACGTATCACATTACTTTCTAGAAAAAGTTACTCAAAAGTAGCACATTGCTTTGCTTTCCAAAAAAAGTAACTCAAAAGTAATGTATCACATTACTTTTCAGAAAAAGTAACTTAAAAGTAACTCAAAAGTAATGTATCACATTACTTTTCAAAAAAGTAACTTGCATTACTTTTCAGTTACTTTTATCACATTACTTTCCAAAAAAAGTTACTCAAAAGCAACGTATCATATTACTTTCCAGATAAAGTTACTCAAAAGTAACGTATCACATTACTTTAAAGAAAAAGTTACTCAAAAGTAACGTATCACATTACTTTAAAGAAAAAGTTACTCAAAAGTAAGGTATCACATTACTTTTCAGAAAAAGTAACTTATAACACTAAAGTAATGTATCACATTACTTACTAGAAAAAGTCACTCTAAAGTAATGCATCACATTACTTTCCAGAAAAAGTAACTTACATTACTTTTCAGTTACTTTTATCACATTACTTTTCAGAAAAAGTTATTCAAAAGTAACATATCGCATTGCTTTCCAAAAAAGTAACTTAAAAGTAACTCTAAAGTAATGTATCACATTACTTTTCAGAAAAAGTAACTTATAACTCTAAAGTAATGTATCACATTACTTACTAGAAAAGTCACTCTAAAGTAATGCATCACATTACTTTCCAGAAAAAGTAACTTACATTACTTTTCAGTTACTTTTATCACATTACTTTCCAGAAAAAGTAACTTACATTACTTTTCAGTTACTTTTATCACATTACTTTTCAGAAAAAGTTATTCAAAAGTAACATATCGCATTGCTTTCCAAAAAAGTAACTCAAAAGTAACGCATCACATTACTTTCCAGAAAAAGTTACTCAAAAGTAGCATATTGCATTCCTTTCCAAAAAAAGTAACTCAAAAGTAATGTATCACATTACTTTTCAGAAAAAGTAACTTAAAAGTAACTCAAAAGTAATGTATCACATTACTTTTCAAAGAAGTAACTTGCATTACTTTTCAGTTACTTTTATCACATTACTTTCCAGAAAAAGTTACTCAAAAGTAACGTATCACATTACTTTCCAGATAAAGTTACTCAAAAGTAACGTATCACATTATTTAAAAGAAAAAGTTACTCAAAAGTAACGTATCACATTACATTAAAGAAAAAGTTACTCAAAAGTAATGTATCACATTACTTTTCAGAAAAAGTAACTTATAACTCTAAAGTAATGTATCACATTACTTACTAGAAAAAGTCACTCTAAAGTAATGCATCACATTACTTTCCAGAAAAAGTAACTTACATTACTTTTCAGTTACTTTTATCACATTACTTTCCAGAAAAAGTAACTCAAAGTAACGTATCACATTACTTTCCAGAAAAAGTCATCCAAAAGTAACTAAGTAATGCAATTAAATACCTTTTGGGGGGATTACCTAAATATTGTAATGCAGTACATTCAAAAGTAACTTTTGCCAACACTCAGTATCATGCAGCCTTACCACCAATCACTCCTGAGATAAAAAACTGTTTTTAGCAACATTTGCTACACGTTGGCCTGCAGAACATCTCACTTTGTTTCTTGAAAAGTTGATGGATTAAACAGAAATAGTCAATTTCTTCCAGGAAATGGGTCAGAAGCACACAGAAGCTTTTCTTTGCATTTCATTTCTGTCTCTCAGAGCGAACCATCACCCAATATAATCCTAAGGAAAGAAGGTGGGAGAGAGGGAGAGAAAGGAGTGTTGTTTTGTTGGGAAAGGGACCAGCTCTGCAAAGCTCATCTCCCTTGGGTCAGTGCGCTTCAGCGTCTGCTTTAAATTAAGCCTCCCTTTCCATCTGACAGAGACATTATGAAACAATGCTGGAGCCAAGGCCACAGAAGCGCTTCATCTGAGCTGATTCCAGTACTCCAAAACGCTCCTGCACTGTCCACCGTAAGCATGACACTCTTCTGGGCTTCACAGCAGTGGCGTAATGTGTTTTTCTGTGGGGTTTGATCATTTGCTGGCATGCTTGTAAATTAATTCAGAGTTTTGTTATGATGCCATCTCTCTAGCCAGCTTAAAGTTGCAGGAGCTTTTATTCTGGTTCAGGCTGGTTAGAGCTGGTTTGGTTCTGGTCACTGATTGGCCAGCAGTGCCATGATGTCCACCAGCAAAAGAGTGTGAATTATATTATCACTCATTTTTTAACCTTAACCATACCAATATAGAGCCAGATCAGTCTCAAAAATAGTACATTTACAAAATACAATTTGTACATCTGTAAACACAATTCATGAATTCACAAGTGAAAATCATATATTTTTTTACCAAATTAATTGGATTTGTGCATTTGTGAATTATTTATTCCCAATTATATATTATATATGTGTTATATATTTACGAACTAGATTTGCTTATTTTTTAATCTTTTTTTTATTTATTTACGAATTTGGATTTGCATATTTTTTTAATCGTTTTTTGAATTTACAAATTGTCTATTTTTGAATTGTTCTTTGAATTTATAAATTGGATTTGTGTATTTTTTAATCTTTTTATTTATGAATTGGATTTGCCAATTTTTAAATCCTTTTTATCAATTCATGAATTGTATTTGTGTATATTTGAATCTTGTTTTTAAATTACAAATTGGGTTTGTGTATTTTTAAAAATTTTTTTTTGTAAGTTTTGTAAGTCGTGTTTTCAATTTAAGAATTGAATTTGTGTATTTGTGAATTTTTTTTTAAATTTACGAATTCGATATGTGTATTTTTGATTTGATTTTTGATATTGTGGTTTGCAATTACAAATTGAATTTGCGTATTTTTAAAGTTTTGAGTTTTTTTAATCATTTTTTGAATTTATGAATTTAATTTTTCAATTTGTAGATTTTGTTTTGAATATAGGAATTGGATTTATGTATTTTTGAATAGTGTTTTGAAATTACGAATTGGATTTGTGAATTTATGAATCATGTTTTGATTTTAGGATTTGGATTTGCATATTTTTTTTCGTACCTTAAATTTATGAATGAAACCTGCGTATTTATGAATCGTGTTTTGAATTTACAAATTAGATTTAGTAAACGCGTATTGTAGTGCAGATGTATTTTATTGTATTGCGGATGTATGCAATTTTTTTTTTGTAAATGTATTAATTTTGAGACTGATCTGGCTCCATATAACAATCTAGATGCCTTTACTTTTCATATATGCTACTTCTGAGTACGATAAACTTTTTTTTCAGATAAGAAAAGATCCACAAAAACCGAACAAATTCCAGTATGTGCATTATAAAAAATTATGTGATTTTGTTATAAGTGATCATGTGATGATAAAAATGTGTATGAGGAAAAGATTCACGCAACCTCACTCACCATACTTACTACTGATATTTGGCACCAGTTAATCAGGAAATGATGACTTTGTTCTCTTTGACTCATTGAATAAAAACAGTGCTTTATTCACACATCTACTATGCCACATTCCAATTTTCACATTCAATTTGCATCTTTGAATGGAATCAGTTATTGAGAAATATAGAAACCCCATTGCCTGCTTGCTTTTCGAAAGTGTTAATAGCCCCTTACACACATACAGACCTTTCCGGAAAAATACCGGCAATTTTCCGGAATGATGTGTATGTGTGAACAGGCCCTTTTTGTAAATACTGGTAAATTAGTTTTGGCTATTTTCCGGAAAGAGAAGTTGTAACATTACCGGTAATTTGCCGGAATGCTGCGCTGTGTGAACGCAGAAGGAAGATTGCCGGAAAGAGCGCGTGTACGTCTAGAACGTGCTGACGTGAGACGTCTGCTTTAGCCAATCAGAGCAGTCAGACACATTCAAGTCTTTGCGATTAATGAGAATAATGCCATTGAACATTTTCCCAGACACATTTAGCTGCTAGAAGTTAGTTAGATAACGTTTATATGTTCATCTTAATGCCAACCGTGTTATTAATTATCGATAAGATGCTTATGATAAGCCGTTGTTTGTTTACCTTCAAGCTTTGCGTGTGCCCGTGAAACAGCCCGTGAGCGCCAGCACACACACATATCATGTACATCTCGACATGCGAAAGTGTTTCTCTGAATGTTTTCATCGTAGTTGTTTACAACACTAATCCATCCACAGAGTTTGTGATGTAGTCAAATGTTTACAAATACAAGCGCAGCCGTTTAGAGCTCATTTCTGGTTAATGATGTCAGAACTTAACATTACCGGTATTTTGGAGTGGATGTGTGAACGGTCTTTTCCGGAAAAATTCCGTAACTCCCTCACCTGTGTGAACAGCGCGTCTTTGAATTTACCGGTAAAGTCGTTCTGGAAATTTTCCGGATATTTACCGGTATCACTGTGTGAAAGGGGCTATTGTCAGAGTACAATCATAACGGAAAAGTATAACTCAGCCTTGAAGGTGTAAAGGTAAATGGATTTACCTTGATTGGAGAGTACCACTTCTGCGGGGAGATGGGTTTCCTCATGCCGTTGTTTAGGGTTCGTGTGGTGGGAAACTCAAACTCTTCCTCTGGCATCTTCACCCGAGCATTCTTAGCCTTCTCCAGTTTGGCTCCTTCATCAGTGGATCCCTTATCTCCCCAGCGCACCTGGAGTTTGACACACACACACACAGACACACACATACATGTTTATCACTGCAGTGGAGTGAAGAAGCCATGTGTTTCCTTGACTTACCTCCATCCTTTTGATGCCACCGACTCCTCTCCCACCGTAATACGAGGCGTCCACCGTCGGCCACTTCTTCTTCGGGTAGCCTTCGTCCTCTTCGTCCTTTAGAGAAAGACTGATTTATTAAAATTAACACAAATTATTCAGCTATTTGGTCTGTGAAATGGATCTGTGTGCTCTTCAGAAAATTTTAAATTGTCCCTGACAAAGTACACACTCACCGGCCACTTTATTAGGTACACCTGTCCAACTGCTTGTTAACGCAAATTTCTAATCAGCCAATCACATGGCAGCAACTCAATGGCTCAATTTAGGCATGTAGACATGGTCTATTGCAGATCAAACTGAGCATCAGAATGGGGAAGAAAGGGGATTTAAGTGACTGTGAATGTCGCATGGTTGTTGGTGCCAGACAGGCTGGTCTGAGTATTTCAGAAACTGCTGATCTACTGGGATTTTCAAGCACAACCATCTTTAGAGCTTACAGAGAACTGAAAGAAAAAGAGGAAATATCCAGTGAGCGGCAGTTCTGTGTGCGCAAATGCCTTATTGATGCCAGAGGAGAATGGCCAGACTGATTTGAGCTGATAGAAAGGCAACAGTAACTCAAATAAGCACTCAATACAACCAAGGTCTGCAGAAGAGCATCTCTGAACACACAACACGTCCAACCTTGAGGCGGATGGGCTACAGCAGCAGAAGACCACACCGGATGCCGCTCCTGTCAGCTAAGAACAGGAAACTGAGGCTACAATTCACACAGGCTCACCAAAAACTGGACAATAGAAGATTGGAGAAACGTTGCCTGCTCTGATGAGTCTCCATTTTTGCTGCAAAATTCGGATGGTCAGGTCAGAATTTGGCATCAACATCATGAAAGCATGGATCCATTCTGCCTTGTATCAACGGTTCAGGCTGGTAGTGTATTGGTGTGGCGGATATTTTCTTGGCACACTTTGGGTCCATTAGTACTGATTGAGCATCGTGTCAACGTCTCAGCCTACCTGAGTATTGTTGCTGACCATGTCCATCCCTTTATGACCTCCAGCAGGATAACACACCATGTCATAAAGCATGAATCATCTCAGACTGGTTTCTTGAACATGACAATGAGTTCACTGTACTCAAATGGCCTCCACAGTCACCAGATTTCAATGCAATAGAGCACCTTTGAGATGTGGTGAAATCGGAGATTCACATCATGGATGTGCAGCTAAATCTGCAGCAACTGCGTGATGCTATCATGTCAATAAGGAGCAAAATGACAGGAATACTTCCAGTAGCTTCTTGAATTAATGCCATGAAGGATTAAGGCAGTTCTGAAGGCAAAAAAGGGTCCAACCCAGTACTAGTAAGGTGTACCTAATAAAGTCTATGTGCAATGCTAAATAATATAAAATGTGACTCTGGACCATGTTGCAGACATATATTTGTGGAAAAAGACAAAAATACATGTGCAACACACTGTAAGAGTTTTTTTTTTTTTTTTTTTTTTGATCCAGGCTCACATTTCTTTGTTATTTCACAAACTTTGTCAGAGACAATTTAAATGGAGGCAGCACGGTGGCGCTGTGGGTAGCACAATCGCCTCACAGCAAGAAGGTCACTGCATAAGTTGACATTTCTGTGTGGAGTTTGCATGTTCTCCTCATGTTGGTGTGGGTTTCCTCCAGGTGCTCCGGTTTCCCCCACATGTCCAAACACATGCGCTATAGGTCAATTAAATAAGCTAAATTGTTTGTAGTGTATGTGTGTGAATGAGTGTGTATGGATGTTTCCCAGTGATGGGTAGCAGCTGGAAGGGCATCAGCTGTGTGAAACATATGCTGGATAAGTTGGCAGTTCATTCCGCTGTGGCGACCCCGGATTAATAATGGGACAAAACCAAAAAAAAAATGCATTAATACATTTAAAATGGAAGTTTTGGAAGAGCACGTAGATCCGTTTCACAGTCCGTTTTCATATTTTATGCCAAAAATCATTAGCATATTAAGTAAAGATCATCTGTGAGGAAGAAGTTTTGTAAATTAACTCCTGAAAGTATGTAAAACTTAATTTTTGTTTAGTGATGTGCATTGCCAAGAACTTAAACTATACATTTTTAAAAGGTGAATTTCTCAATATTTAATTTATAATTCTCAATATAATCTCAATAACATTTCTTAATATTTATAAACCGTCAAATGTTAGATTTTCAAATAGTATCTCAGCCAAGAGTGACACAGTGGCTCAGACGTTAGCACTGTCACCTCACAGCAAGAAGGTCACTGGTTCGAGTCCAAAGTCCAAACACATGCGCTATAGGGGAATTGGATGAAATAAATTGGCCGTAGTGTATGAGTGCATGTGTGTGAATGTGAAAGTCTATGGGTGTTTTGCTGGAAGGGCATCCACTGGAATAGTTGGCGGTTCATTCTGCTGTGGTGACCTCTGAAATAGAGACTAGGTCAAAGACTAAGTTGAAGGAAAATGAATGAATGAATTACCTACACATCCTTAAGATGATTGGCCAATACCAACAGACTGAGTCAGCTAGCTAATCAGAGCACTCTCTTTGTGGAAGGGCGGGGCTTTGCAGAAATCCTCAGACAGACTGAGCTGCTGCAGCAATAGCGTTTTAAATTATTATCACTTAACAAGTACCTTGTTTAAACGTACATGGTGTCCTTACGTTTTTAAGGTGAATGATGTTAACCTTCTTAGTCATTTTAAATTAAATTACATAAAACAGACTCAAAAAAGCTTGTACCTACAAAATTAAGTTGATTACCTTAGGCTAACATAAAAGCATAACAGATGTTAAGTGTTTTCAGTTTATTTACGGTTGTGCATTGCATTATGGGATGTTGATCTCTGCTCTGTCCACTTTTGATGTTGAAAATTTAACTCTACAGTTTAACAAAGTGACTTTTATGGACATTTTAGAGGTTTGAGATAATATAACATCTTTAAACTATTAAAATGTGCATTAAAGTAACTTTTTAAAAGTTTTCAAGTTTAAAAGTTGTAGGAAGAACGATCAAGATCCCATAATGCAATTCAAAAGCAGAAATAAACAGGGGAAAATAAAACCATTAATCTATAAATATGAAAAAACTGGTAATTTACTGATATTTTTTACTGTGTAATCAATGGCTGTTTAGCTTGGATAACGGGGTAGTTACTACATTTACCAGCAGGTCTAAACTAACCTTTTTATTAGGTAATAATGACATCATTTGTCATGTTTGGAAGGAAGGAAGGAAGAAATTGATTGCAAACGAATGCATGCTTTGTATAATTTCATAATGCTTGAGAGCACGCAAGAACAAACTCATTATGTATTCTCACGAGTTGAAATCAGCTTCAGTTCAAAACAGCCTCATAATAGTCTTTTCTAAGAACTGGACAGGAAATGATGTCAGCCTATACCTTCCAGTCATCTTTCTGGATTTCATAGCTGCGGGCGTAATTGGATTTCCTTATGTTCCTTTAAAGTCTGACTGTAACTGTTTTAATGAGCTCGGGAGGGCAAAATCTCTCTTAGAGGAGCTTTAAACAAGAACACAACTCGCTTTTTTAGCATTGCCCCAGATTACCTTCTGCAGAAACACAAACTTTTGCCGATCTCAAAATATACACAGTTGAAGTCAGAATTATCTCCCCCCCCCGCCTCTTTGAGTTTTTTTCTTTTTGAAATAATTCCTAAATGGTGTTTAACAGAACTAAGAAATTTTCACAGTATGTCTGATAATATTTTTTCTTCTGGAGAAAGTCTTATTTGTTTTATTTTGGCTAGAATAAAAACATTTTATTTATTTTTTTAAACACCATTTTGTTGTCAATATTATTAGCCCCTTTAAGCTATATTTTTTTTCCGATAGTCTACAGAACAAACAACTGTAATACAATAACTCGCCTAATTACCCTGACCTGCCTAGTTAAGCTAGTTAACCTAGTTAAGCCTTTAAATGTCACTTCAACATGTTTAGAAGTGTCTTGAAAAATATCTAGTAAAATATAATTTACTGTCATCATGACAAAGATAAAATAAATCAGATATTAGAAATGAGTTATTAAAACTATTATGTTTAGAAAAGTGTTGATAAAAAAATCTCTCAGTCAAACAGAAATTGGGGAGAAATAAACAGGGGGGCGAATAATTCTGACTTCAACTGTATACATTTGTTAAACTGCTTTGTGAATGTTGCATTTATGCTGCAAAAAGTGATTTTCTTACAGTTTTTGTCTCGTTTCTACACTGTAAAGAATTCTATGATCACTTAGTTTAATAGGTTTTAATGAACTAAAAACATGTGCTGTCATGACCAAGTTAATCATCATCTAACTAATGTTATAAGTTACACAAGCTGTTTTAAGTCAGTTTAACATAATAAAACTTCAATAGACTCATAAGGCTAATTTAATCCAGCTTAAAAATGTAAGGCAACCAGGATGATTTCATAGTGTAGTACAAGTAATATAAAAAAGATTGCATTTTCAAGTAAAAAAAATATTGTTTTGTTTTCAGAAAAGTCATAATTCATAAGTCATAATTAAGTGGGTTTACTTAAAACAAGCTAAATATTAGTCAATAAGGTAAAACAATTATATTTCAACCTGATAACAAACTGATTGTGCTAAGACTTTATTTTGACAGCCTCTATTGCACATTTTGTTGACTAAAAGTTTCATTGCTACATGCCAATTATTCTCAGTTGAGTATTAGTAGACTGTCTGCTTAATATCTGCTGATACTGCTCCTTCAACAGACTTTTAACTGACTATAAGAAACTTCGCAAGTACATGTTAACTTACACTAACTCCAACCCCAACCTAACATCCTACTTAATCTAATGAGTAGTTGGCATGTAGATGCTACTTTATGTAAAGGGAGCATCAAAATAAGTGATACTCTTACGGTATGTTTTCTTGCCCCATTGGCAGTGTATTTTGTTTAAGGAAAACCCTATTTATTTTTTGGCTATTATTTATAAAACCAAAACAATATTTTTATATCGAGTGTAAAAATAATAGTGAGAAATCTGTCTCTGAGGAAGTAAAAGTTTGTATTTGTATTTTAATCCTTTCTGTAATGGTATGTATGTATTTCATATTGTCAT